CCAGCTCTGCCGCAGCGGCCGCGAGGAGGGGCCGCTGGAGCGCGACTCGGGAACCCCGGGTCACCGCCGCGCCGCCGGAGCCACAGCCAGGCCTCCGTGAGCGGCGCCCACGCTCTCGCCGTTCGGACGCTCGGACCCGCAGCCACCTGCTCCCGGCCCGAGGCCAGGACACGATGCGCTCCGCGCTGGCGCTCTCGGCGCTGCTGCTGCTGCTGCCGCCGCGCTCGCTGTCCCAGGAAGGTGAGTGGTGGCCCGGGCTCCGCTGCGACCCCACCGTGCCCGTGCGCCCCCGGCCGGGCCACACCTCGTGGCGGGACCCTGAGCAGCCCCTGCGCGCGCCTCCCGCTGGGGCCACACGCGGAGCCCTGACCTTGAACCATCCACTCCCCTTCCAAACCCGAGAACACCGCAGGTGCCGGGCCCGCGCGCGGATAGTCCCCGGTCTCCATCCCGATGGAGTGGAAGGTGGATTGTGGTGGGGCAAACAGTGGCGCGCCGGCCATGAATGGGTTTGCGGGCAAAGCGAGCGGGGAGTTGAGGCACCGCGAGGCCCCACGCTTTTGCGGGACCCCCCAAGTCTGATCGCTCTTTTTCTCGGTGTCGGAGGGGATGAGCAACGGTATCGTGTAGTCGTCGATCCCAGCAAAACGGCAGGCTGGAAGCTCATGGGGAAGTCCCTGAAGCAGGTGACAAGCCTCTGGTAACGGCTCACGCGGGTGATGTGTTCCGCGTTGGCAGAGAGGTTTTTTCCAAGCGGTGTGTGCAGTTGGGCTCACCTGAGCCTGTGCTGGGGCATGTAAAAGGGGAGTAAGTGGACCTTCCACCAGCTCAGAGTCATCTGGCTGTGTTGGATCCCTGTCTTCTACACTACCAATATACTTCTGTACTCGCATATGGCCAGGAAGGTGAACCTCCCCCCATAAACAGGAACTTGCCTCATGAAACAAGCTTGGGTGCACCTTAGAAACAACCCCCATATTTTTTCTGAAGGTGAAATGTTACCCTTTTAGGGGGACATGGGGGTGGCCCAAAGCCCCTGAGAACAGCTGGAGGGTCAGCCCCAGGAAAGAGAGGCATTTTCTTTGTGGCCTGCCTGAGCACATGCCCGCCAGGAGAAAGAGTGGAGGGGGTGCTCCTCCCCTGGGGCCAGGAGGACTTTGGTGACAGCTCCAGAAGGGACCCTGCTGCTGGCAGGCCCTGGCATTTGGGGCTGAACTCTTAGGGGCAGCACAGCCTCTTCTCTGCACCACATGGAACCTTGGGTGGGAAGGGGCTGGTTCTCTGAGGGCAAGCAGGTGTGAGCATCCCGCCGTGGGCGGCCCTGACACTCCACTAGCTCAGCCTAAAAGGAAAGGGCACTTGGCAGTGGGCAAAGGTGTGTGCTCCCAAAGGGTATGTTGTGGTGTGAAGAGTGGTCTGAACAGCTTTGAGGATGACAGTCACCTCGCATTTGCACGACCTGCAGGACTGAGAAGATGTTGGAGTGTGGCCACTCCTCAACTCTGCTCTCAGAGCAGCCAGACTTCAGCGAGGGCCTTGACACGCATCTTTTTGGAAAGAGCCTCTTAGCACCACCCAGAAGGGAGATGGGCTGTTTTGAGAAGGATAGGCTAGTTCCCCGGGTGCCAGAGCCTAAAAAGGCTGAGCTTTGAGGAGAGGCCGGGGGCTGCTGCACTAAGAGATGCTCCGGAGCCAACCATGGGAAAATCTCCAGGCCCAACTCACTGCTGGCTTCAAGGCTGGGACTGCCTTCCCTAGCATCTGGGCACTGCCCAGAAACCATGCCTCTTCCAGGAAGCCCTCCTCAAGCCCAGCACGGGGCATGGCATGTGGAAGGACTTGATACATGGAAAACAAATGAACCACAATGACCAGCACCGCACTCCCATCCCCATCAGCAAGTCTCTTGGCCTTTGCAAGCCCCCAGTGCCCAATCCCTAAAATGCTATTGTGATATATAATAAGGGCATAAAGGTAAGTGTTTGGAAACTTGTAAAGCACAGGGAGTCTCTTTATTATTATTTGTATACCTTGAGGCAGAAAAGGCTGGAGGGGTGCAGGCGTGCTGCTCAGTGGCTGTGCTGATTTAATACCTTCCTAGAGGGGGTCAGTAAGGACTACCCTATCTCTCTGCCCTTCTGAAGGTGTGGCCTCCTGGGCTGCCATCATCAAGGATGGGGTAACCCCCCCAAACTGGTGGAATCCTGTGATTCAGTTCTAAACCATAAGGGGTTATAGTGTGAGTCTCCTTAACAAAGGAATTACCCCACCTACGGAGCTTACCTTTTAGTACAGGCGGATCACGCTGCTGAAAGCATAAGCAGCATTAAGCCCAGGGGCCTGACAGTCCATTAGACAGACCTCTTTTCAGTACTTTTGGTTTGATATTCACTGGGTTGAGCCACATGGCAAGTTGTACCTCTGAGCTCAGTTTCCTTATCTATAAGACAGAATAAAAGAGAAGAGGGCACCTCTAGTTTCTCATTATGTAACATTTCTGGGGTTTTCTGCCCTGTTAGCTGCGGAAAGGACAGGCTGACTTGGAACATCAGTCTGACTGAGTCATTCCATGGGTGAATCCTGGGAAGGGAAAGGTGGCTTGGTCTGGTGGAAAACACTCAGACTTTGGGTCAGACAGACCCTCGAGGCTGTAGACAAAATAGCGAACCTCTTGAGCCTCGGTTTCTTTGTCCATAAAATAATGACAAAGCTACCTTGTACGTTGCTCTGAAGATGAGAGAGAACAGACGGAATGAGCTCGACAGTGTGCCAGACTCATGGTCAGAGCTCAATCGGTCCTAGCTGTGATGATGAATAAAGCATGTGTATTGAGAACTTGATGGGTCTAAGGCCACTGAGCGGCAGGACTCTGCTAACGTTTGTGGGTAGTAGTTGGTATGTGGTAGCAAAGGCTGAAGCTTTCGAGCCACGAGGTGGGGGTAGAGGAGGCTTGTGCAAGAGAAGTGGTGAGATGTGGGGAGCGGTGACCTAGGCAAAGCTTCCTGAAGGAGGTGGGGGTTTATACAGGGATTTTAAGATGAAAAGGGTCAGTGTGGGGGTGCCTGTGTGGCTCAGTCGGTTGAGCGTCCAACTCTTGGTTTGGGCTCAGATCATGATCTGAGCCCCATGTTGGGCTCTGTGCTCAGTGGGGAGTGTGCTTGGGATCCTCTCTCTCCCCTTCCCTCTGCCCCCGCCCTGCTGTGTGCTCTCTTTCTCTCAAGTAAATAAATAAATCTTTTTAGAAAAAGGGTCAGTGTGGGGTGGTGAGACCATTTCATAGGCTGGCTGGGGCCGAATGAATTGCAGGGTGGAGGGGAGACACAGGCTGGGGGTCATGATGTGGGTTCTTGAGATGGGTTGAGCTCTGGGAAGGCTTTGGGGAGGAGGTGAGCTTTCAGAGCCCAGTGAGAAAGTTCCATGGGATGAGGTCAGGGGATGGTGGGTATTCCTAGCATGATGCTGCTTGGGCATGGCTCTGAGGCAAGAGTGAGCAGGCCGTGGGGGGTTAGGAGCAGACTGGTCTCAGCTGGTGGGAGAAGAGGAGGGGTAGGGGGTCACAAAGCTCCCAGGTGGCAGCTTGGCCAGAGCTTTAGGGTGTGGCCGCCCCAGGAGGGGTAGAGGAGGCGGGCTTGGCACTTGCTGGAGGGGGTGTCCTCTGGCAGTCACCAGGACACCGAAGTGGGGATAAGCACATAGACACGGGGGCTGCACCACATCTGCCTTTTCCTGAGACATCCAGGCTTGAAGGGAGAGGAGGGGCTCCTGCTGGGTGGGATGTGAGACCTCTGTCCTCTGGAAGCTGAGAGAAGGGGCCCCCACCTGGTTGGAATTCCTCTTAGCAGGGCAGACTAGATAATTTAATCCTGTCTGTCCTCTGGTATCATCTCTGCTGAGAAGCCTTCCCTGGTTTCTAGATGGAAGCAGATGATGTTTGGGTGTCTCTTTCAGCCATGCAGGGGCCCCTCTAGGGCAGGGGCAGCCGCAGTCTCTACCTCCAGGGCCCCCTGCAGCCATGGGCACTGAGCAGTGGCTCGACATTTTACCTGCACCCTTCACCTGAGGGGAACTGGCCCAGGCCCTCGTTTCAGGCTTTCGGAAAGGGGAGCCCGAGACCAGCTCACATCCTGGGCAGTGATGCTGGCCAGTGGGCTGTTCCTGCAGCGGCCAGAACTGGCAGGGACAACTGTTGAGGGTCGGGGCTTGGGGTCCCGGAGCGGACCAGTGGCTGCTGTGAGCACAGCTCGGCACTTAGCTCAAGGCCCCCCACTCCTCAGGAAAGTGGGAGGAACCCTCTGGACAGCTCGCTGCACTTTTTGGGACGGGGGCCGGGACTTAGATGGTTCTACTCTGGTAAGAGCTTCTTCACATCTGGGCACCTGGGTGGTTCAGATGGTTAAGCGTCTGCCTTCGGCTCAGGTCATGATCTCAGGGTCCTGGGATCGAGTCCCACATCGGGCTC